CACTCTTCCCTCAGTATCTTTCTAGTCCTCCCTCTTCTCCCTGTCCTTATCCAGGTCACCATCCACTCTGATGACACTGCTCTGGATTCCTTCTGACTCCTTCCTGCACTTCCACCCTGGCCCCTCTGGTCTGTTCCTCTGTCATTTAGAGTGCTCTTTTAAAAACCGTCTGAAGATGGTTACTCCCCCTGAAACAATTTGATGGCTCCCCATTGCCTTCAGATAAGATGCATGCTCCTGATACTGCTTTATAAACCTTGAAATGATCTGGTTTCTTTTTACCTCTCACCAGCCCTACTCCATTCTCCCCGTTGCCTGCTAAGCTCCAGTCACACTGGTTCTCTTTCAGTTCTTCAAATACACCAAGCTGTTGCCAGCTTCAGGGCCTTAGCTATTCCATCTGGAGATCTCTGTCCAGAAAACTGCCCCTCTCTTTCCTCTTTCAGAGTTTCTAGTCTCAGCCTAAATGCCATTGCCTCAGAGAAGCCTCCACAGATCACCGTATCTTGATACATTCCCCATTCACTTGATTCACTTTCTTCTTAGCACTTATCATAAGATATAGTGAATTGTTTCTTGTTTATTGTCTGTCTCCCTCACTCAATTTTAAATTCCACGAGGTCAAGGACTATATATCTTAAAAAAAAATTTTTTTTCATGTTTACTTATTTTTGAGAGAGAGCAAGAGCGAGAGAGAGAGCAGGGGAGGTGCAGAGAAGGGGACAGAAGATCTGAAATAGGCTCTGTGCTGACAACAGAGAGCCCGATGTAGGACTCGGACTCAGGAACCATGAGATCATGACTTGAGCCAGAGTTGGACGCTTAACCGACTGAGCCATCCAGGTGCCCCGTCTTTTTTGATGACTGTCTACAGGGCTTGGTGGTACATAATAGGTACTCGTGATAGGGTGATCATTTGTCCCTGTTTGCCTGGAACTGAGGAATTTCCTAGAGTTTTCAGGATTTGCAGTGCTAAAACCACGACAGTCCTGAGCAAACCAAGATGTTTGGTCACACTAGCCGGTAGTAATTATTTACAGTAGTTATATTTGTGGAATGAATAAGTGAGAAAGAGTTCAGCATGCTAATTAGCCATAAAAACCTCTGAGGCTTATCCCTGTAGGCTTTTATTCTCACTTGTGGGGTGCAGACTATGTATCCCACTTTCATGTGATCATGGGAGATTTGATTAAAGAGAGGAGATTTAATTTCCTTTAAGTAAGTAAGAGAGAGCTAAGTTGCTTTATTACTGATCGATCCCAGCATAACATCACAAAAAGTGCAGTGTGAGTGATGGAGTTGGGGAATGAAATCTTAAGGTTTACGAGCCTTCATGTATTGATGGATTAGAATTCTAATCTTAACCGGAATGGTGCTATTTTAATAAACATTACGTTAGTGCAGTTAGACTTACTTTATTTTAGTGTCTTGGTTTTGGCAATCTGATTTAATGTTAAATATCGCTTTTAAGCAAGTTGAGGAAACTGCTCTAGAGGCCAGATGTGGTATCCTGCACAGCCATACGTATACTATGTTGGGCATTGGCCTTAATTTAAGCAGATCTTTAGTTCATCTTAAACTTGATATTACATGCTAGCACCCCTGACTGCCATCCCTTAGACAAATACTGCGATAAGTCGGAAGGTTTTCACTGGATGAGATGAAACACAGGGGCAGTGGTGAAAAAGAACCACTGGACACACAGAAACATCTCAACCAGCGTGGTACAGTTGAATCGGGCTGGCAAGAGAGAGCTGCAGCTGGACCCATGCATGTGCATGAATCAGTTTTAGATTGGCTTTTTCAAGTCCATGTGTTGGATCCATCATCCCCTACAAGTAGTAAATCTGATGATGGTCTCTTCACGTATGCACGTTGGAAAGACTTTCTGTTGCACCTTGGTCTGTTGAGCTGTACTTGACAAGCCCTCAGTAGACTAAGGGACTTAATTGTAGAGTAGCCTTGACATGTGCTCCCCCATTAACTTCTTGTGCAGTTCTTAACTTGTGGAAAGGGTGTCTTTCACACTGTCAGGAAGGTCTTTGCTGTCCCCATACTATTGTTAATATGGTATTGAATGTCTTAGGAGAAGAGGGACTGTGTCTATCAGATGCAATTGTTTGTTGATGAAAGAGCATAAACTCTACCATGGGAGTGGCAGAGAGTGAGGGAGAGAGAGAAATCCCAAGCAGGCTCCACACTGACAGCACAGAGCCTGATGCCAGGCTTGAACTCACGAACCATGAGATCATGACCCAAGTCAAAACCAAGAGTCGGCCGCCCAACCTACTGAGCCACCCAGGCGCCTCTAGAGTGGAACTTCTTTAACAGGAAGGCAGTATTAACATTTTAACACTTTAGTTACAGTAACTTTTAATGGATGCCTGCCGCTTGTAATAGTTAATGTTTCAAGGTAGGATTTGATTGCTAGGTATCCAAATCCCTGTTATAGTGAGTTGGTGTTAAAACAGATTTCTAGTGCATTTGTGAACCTCAGGAAAGAGATAACTTACCAGAAATCTTTCTGAATTTTATAAATTTGCATTAAGGTAATGTGGCAAGGGAGATAATAGTAGAGGCCATCTGCCAATTACCATGTAACTCAGAAATCCCCCTTCTAGGTATATACCCAAGTAAAATAAAAACTTACATTTACACAAAAACCTGTATATGAACATGAATTACACCAAAATGGAAACAACCCAAATGTTTTTCAGCTGGTAAATAAACTGTGGTACACCCACAATGATGGAATACTCCTTAACAATAAAAAGAAATAAACTATTGATATATACCGCCACGCGGGTGAATATCAAATGTATTTTGCTAAGTAAAGAAGCCAGACTCAAAAGGCTATATACTATATGATTCTATTTATATGATATTCTACAATGGGTAGATCTGTCTGTAGGGTCAGAAAACAGGTCTGTGGTTGTTGTGGGATGGAGGAAAGGATATAAAGAGCAGTAATTTCCTGAAAAGAGCATTAATTTCCTGAAAGAACAGTCTTTTTTTTTTTTTAATTTTTTTTTCAACGTTTATTTATTTTTGGGACAGAGAGAAACAGAGCATGAACGGGGGAGGGGCAGAGAGAGAGGGAGACACAGAATCGGAAACAGGCTCCAGGCTCTGAGCCATCAGCCCAGAGCCTGACGCGGGGCTCGAACTCACGGACCGCGAGATCATGACCTGGCTGAAGTCGGACGCTTAACCGACTGCGCCACCCAGGCGCCCCAGTCTTTTTTTTTTTTAACACCAAAACTGTAACTCCAATTGACCAAATGCAAATCACAGCCATATTTGTGAGAATGATGGAACTGCCCTATATCTTGATTGTGGGAGTGGTTAAACTGTAAGTATTTGTCAAAATTCATAGTATACCTAAGAAAGGATAAAGTGTACTTTATGTAAATTATATCTCAAGTTTTTAATTTTTTTAAAGATTTTATTTTTAAGTAATCTCTCCACCCAGTGTGGAGCTCGAACTCACAACCCCGAGATCAAGAGTCACTTGCTCCACTGACTGAGCCAGCCAGGCACCCCCTCAAGTTTTTTAAAAGACCATAAACACATACACATATTTCTGTAATTTGCATTTGGTAAATAGAAGTTACTATTTTGGAGTGAATAAGTAGAATGTTCTTACGATCTTCAGTCTTTTCATAAAGTTGGTATGCTAGCTCTCGTTAATGAAATGAGAAGAGTAACATTTCATGACTGCATATGAAGAAGAGAGCGGGTCAGCTGTTAATCTGAGAAGGTCATTTTCTCATTCTGGCCAAGGAGAGTATACTCCTAAAATAGAAAGAGACTGGAAGAAGAAAATAGATACTTTGTAGCAGTCTATTATTTTAATATCCATCTTTGCACTTGACGTATAATTGTATAGCACCATCATCATCAGGAAATAATACTGCTAATATTTATTAGTTGTATTTTTCTCTTTTTTTGGCAGAAGGGAAAAAATGTTTTAGACTGGTAGACCTTGACTGAATTAGGAGCTAGGATTCTATCTTCCACTAGTTTGAATCCTGGCTCTCTCATGTACTAGCTGTGTTACCTGGGTAAGTTACTTAACCCTTGCTGTTGCTTGGTTTCTTTATCTTCAAATGGGAATGATAAAAGAACTTACCTCAAGGTTGTCGTATTAAATGTTAGATACTTAGAAAAGCACCTGACGCCAAGTAAGTACAGTATAACATTGGACTGGTACTGATATTACAGAGATCAAGAAACAGAAGTTTCCTTTTGTGGCATTTTTGGGTGACTGGTCTGAGTTGGCAAGAAGTAACTGGAGAAAGGAACCATGTAAGAGAGCAAATTCTGGTTGTAGCCATCACACTTATTGGCACATCCTTCCCCTTCTAATCTGTCACAATGACCAGGACAAGGCAGAGGTGGTGAATGGAAACATTTGGGTTATCAAATTAGGATTCTCATGTAGAAGCCAGCACACTTACTGCTTGTTATCAGACTTGGGATTAAACACCAAAAATATACCTCGTTTTTTCTGATTCAAGCATTCAAAATAAGAAATGATCTTAGAACCTTGGAGTTTGTCAGCTTATTCAGAACAGCCCACAAATGCTAATTTTCCCATGAATTACAGTAAGAGGATGCTTTGAGTATTAGTTAGCTATACCAGTAAGATCAATGAGCAGATTACCTTTGAAAACATGGTTCTTCTATCAGTTCCTCAGAATTGGTGCTTATGTAGCAGGTTGCAATTTGGGGGTACCCTCCAGTTCAGTTTTCTAGTCACTTTTCCATTTCAGACATACATTTCCCATTAAGAAGAAAGGGGCAGATTTTTGAAAACATTTCTTTAATGCTTAGGAATACTGGCACTTAGTCTGTTTGTGTGGTAAAAGTTCCCATGGTGACATTTTTCGATGGAAAGCACAAAGAGGTAGAAGAGATCTAGGGAAGGTGGGCATTTCTTGTCCTTGAATGTTTTTCTCTGTTGAACAAAATTCATGTGTCTACTTCTGCCCTGTTAGGAGCTTTTGTCCCTGGCAAAGCGGAAGCGCAGTGATTCCGAGGAGAAAGAGCCACCTGTGAGTCAGCCTGCAGCCTCCTCAGACTCTGAGACGTCCAACAGCGATGATGAGGTGGGTGTGCAGGGGCTTGGCCCCAGGGACTGAGTGGTATTTGAGGGTCCTGATTTGTACTGTCATTTACCTGGTGGGCCCCTCTACAGAGCACATGTGGCCATTGTTTACTTGCTTATTTCTAGCCCTGTTGCAAAAGAAGAGGCACAGCCTGTTAGTCTTCATCTCTTTGTTTTGTTTTATTTTATTTTATTTTATTTTATTATTTTATTATTTATATTTATTTATTTCAACTTTTTCTTTCCATGTTCGTGTTAGAAAAGACATTATTTTTTTTTTAGATGTTCATTTATTTTGAGAGAGAGAGAATGCACACATGTGCCTGCTTGCAGGCAGGGGAGGGGCAGAGAGAGATGGAGAATCCCAAGCAGCCTCTGTGCTCTCAGAACCCAGTGTAAGGCTCACTCTCACTAACTGTGGGATCATGACCTGAACCAAAATCGAGAGTTGGACGTTTAACTGACTGAGCCCCCCTGGAAGAGAAATTCTGTCAAGAATGCCATATGTTAGGAGCACCTGGCTTGCTCAGTTGGCAGAGCATGCAACTCTTAATCCTAGGGTTGTGAGTTTGAGCCTCACGTTGGGTGTGGAGCCTACTAAAAAAAAGAAAAAAAAGAATGCCATATGTTAGTGGGAAATACTTTAGCAAGATAAGTTTTCTTTGGATGGATTGAATTGATGCCCTCAGAGTGGTGGTTGTAACTTTTAAGGAAGAAAATCCAGCTGTTCATTGTTTAAACCAAGGTGACTTTCCCAAACTGTCTACCACCAAAAAAAGCCCTAAAAGATCTAGAACTTTTTTTTTTTATTAAAAAAATTTTTTTTTCAACGTTTATTTAT